CGGAGCCCTATAGCATCATTACTGTATGGTTGAGGAACGTATTCCTTACATCATTATACAACACAGTAAAAACCGATATACAGTGCAGGGAGGCTTCCCTACTGGGGTTCACCGTTCTCCCAGTGCCAGGGGTCCAAGCTTGGAGCCCCAAAGCTTCAGCAGCCGGGCCAGGACCCGGCGGTGTCGGAGCTCGTGGGCCGCTTAAGAGCGGACATCAGTCGGGCGGAGGCGACCACAGAAACCTGTTTTGTTTCTTGCCCGGGACTGAATTCTGCGACTGTTTTTTGCGGATTGGCTTTTAAAGAGCTCGAAAGCCTTGTTCTACGGGGTCAGGTCGTAGTATCTAGTAGTCAACACTATCCATTCGGGATGAAGGCCCGCAGGCATTGTAGAATGTGTCCACAGGTAGGAAAGGGAATATGTGTAACGTGGCCATGGCGATATCCTTCCCTCCTTCCTGACATGTGGCAGCTTTTTGTTGCTCTGCGGCCTCTCAGGCCCGAAGATCTTGCTTAAAGCCCGAAGTCCTTCGAGCATCCATCATGTCCACACGGGAAATCTGCATGGTTTTACTTGCAGAGGATCTGGCGGATGTGGAGGCTGCTCTCATGGCTTTGGAAGGCGCGACACCCAAGAGCAGATGTCGCGAGGGGCTTCTCGCGCTGCTTCGGAGTCTGCCTTTGGAGTTACATAGGACCAGCTATTCTGGAATGAAGCTCTCTCGGCAGAAGGGGGCAGGCTCAGAGGCAGTATATAATCATAGTGTGCGCTCACTATCGATTACGTGGTTCTCAGCAACTTTTATCTCTTATTGATGCAGTCCTTGTCTTCGTTTGAAAGACTTGTGAAAGGTGTTTTTTTCCTTGTGCCCCCTCGTCCTGGAATCTGCGTTGAGGCCTCAAGCGCCTGGGAACTACACCTGGCGCCGCAGAGGTGGCGCTGATGGCGAAGAAACTTCGGGTACCCAGGCTGAAGAGGTTGCAATGCGGCGTGTCGAGCGACGATCAAAATCAAGGCCGCACATAGAGCCTACATACCGTACAAACTCCAAGGCATGTCCTACAGCTCTGTATTATGCAGAAACGAGAACAAGATGTGTTCCTGCGGCTTATATGCACTCCACGGCAGATGATAAATCCTTGATAGCCAGGGGGTGGTTGATCAGGTTCATACATTAGACATGTTTGAGGCAGGGCTGACAGCGCATGTCCACTGAGTTTGGTATGAAAGCGAGTCTATAGCACTGGTAAACACAATAATCTCGTACGACTCTGTTGTGGTGGTTGAATAGCGCAGTGTTCAAACCCACACTCGTGATTTGAGGCCGTTGACTTCGCGAAGGTCTCGACCAAGGTGTTTGGGCGTGAGCTATTCCAGTCGCGAATCACATGCAAACTTTCAAATCGGGGAGACGGAAGCACGATCCCTAAGGTGGCATTGTTATAGCACGAATGTTCGTCGACATGTGGCTTAGCACACTGCAGAACTGAAGTCAACAATCAATCGCAGCTGTCCCCCACAGTATGCACCGTCGAGTGAATTCCATTGCTCTCTCCACAGGCAGTTTTGAACTCACTAGTAGTGTCCTCATGCCCTGCAACAGCAACATACAGGGAATACAAGCCAGAATTATCTTCGTCAGTTTCCACTTCCAGGGGTTTACTGCATACTGTTTACTTGTTTTACACACATATGTATACATACATAGATGTATATATAGGGTGTTGGGAGTTGGGAGATGACTGATGAGACAGAACAGTTGCATAGTGACGATGTAGTCTTATACTTATAGACTTATAGACTTATACCCTACAGCATCTAGCACTTATATATGGACTATGCAGTATATCGGTGTATATCGGTGTATTTAGTTTCATACCATACGCTCAATATTCGTACTGTTGCAGACGTCCGCGGGGCAATTTTCCGGGCCCCCAGGCCTTCTGCCGGCTTCTTTGGCTTGCGGCGCAGCTGAGGGCCACGGCGCCTGGGCTCTCTGAGGCGGCAGGCGCAGGGTCTCCAAAAGGTTAGGGCTTTAGGGTTTAAGGGTTCAGAGTGGTTTCAGTCGCGAGAGTCCTGGATTCAAAAGAGTGGTTTCAGGGTTTCTAAGATCAGCTGCAATAGGGCCAATTCGGATTAAGGTTTTTGAAAATTTAGGCTTTTGGGCTTTACAATTTCAAGATCGGAGGATTTACGAGCTTTTAGGGTTTGGAGTTTGGGGCTAGGGATTTAGGTTGATATGATAGGGATTGGAGGCTCTAGGCAGTAGGGTTCGGGTTTGTAGGGTTCTAGGCTAAACCTCCCAACCCCTCGTTCACAACTGTCACTGCATTTGTTGGGACGTCTTCAAGTCCCGCCAGCTTGCGTAAGCCTTCAAAGGACACGAGGCATCCATAGCATAGTCATGTCCGCAACGATCTGCTAAGCTGCAGCCGGGGCTGAAGATGCTTCTGTTTTCGTCCTGCAGTGCCACAGTAGATGTAGCCGAGCAACATGCTTTCTGGCCATTATGCCCACTGCCTGCGATGTCCTAATCAATGTTAAGCAAAGAAGCTCCACATATCGACAGTTCCTCGGTCCTCGGCTCAAGCTGACTTTGCATGCCTGCGCGCTTTACGAGCTGCTGCTGGACTGCTGGGCGCACGCTGCCAAGAATTCGACGCTTCTTCCTGAGCTGTAGCTGTTGGGGTGGATTACTGGCTCGATCGGGCATCTCACCAAAGGCTCGACGAAGCCGTCTGAAGTAAACTTTGCATTCACAGGTCAGGCTTGGCTTTCCGAGATGCGAAGGAGCAGGAGAAGCTTGAGTTGCTTTCCACCGGGCAATGCCTCCTTCGTCCTCCGTCGAAGGGCGGGGCTACTTTGCTTCAGTTTGCTGGCTTCCGGCATGGCGGATGCTGCTTGTAGCCTGTTGATGGCATCTCCTATTGCCGTGAGACGAGCGTCGCGATCGCCGAGGACAGGTGCGCTAAGTTGAGAGGGCATCTTGGGATTCGGTTTGCTGAGTCATGGCACCAGCCGCATGTCGAGGACCCAGATCCACGCAACTTCGGCAGTGCCTGCAGCTTACGCCACCCAAAGTGCCTTGCAAGGACTGAATTTGTCAAAGCATCATGCCCGCTCCGTCAGGTCACACTATAGTTCAGACATCATCAGACAGTTCGGACCAGCACTTTAACAGACGGAGTTTTGACGTGTGCAAACGTCTGATAAGGCAGAGATGAGGCGTTCCTCGCCCGCGTCCGCGGTCTCGCCGAGGAAGTGTTGACGTGGCCTCACCTCGAAGAGCAGAAGATCCTGGGACAAGAAGATTTTGCTGGAATTCAGGGGTGGCCAGGCCCAGGCGGCCTGTATGATTTTGTTCATATATGCAATTTGGAGCTTGCGCTGCAAGGAAACTGGTTTGGTTTGCAGCGCTCAAGCTGGGTGCTGTGCCGCTTCAGGACCACAGCGTTTTGCATCAGTTCGAGTGGATCACTGCTTCAATGTGTCAGATGCTGTTTGGAGTGTAGCTGGATCGTGCAGCACAAAACATGTACAGGAGTTGCCGCCTTGGATGTTGGAGAAGCATAATCTGTCGCGTCGGGAAATGGGCCGGGATCTCACGAGATGAAGTGGTACAGCACTTCTATATTGCCTTTGCTTCGTTGCGGCTTTGTTGTCGATCTGGCAGTCTGCCATCATGACTTTGCAGCTCCATGTGACAATGTAAACTGTGCTGCCATGACGCTTCTGCTGTCGAGGTGTGGACCTCCTCAGCATTGATGGAAGCAAAGCAGTCCTTTGCCGATGTGGGGAGGCGAAAGGCACCGTAAGCCTCCGCGACATCACACGCTTCCTGCGCGCTGCTCGATGGGTTTGCAAGGCCCGGGGTTTGCAAAAGGTGCTCGCCCGATCTGGTCCGGAACATACTTAGTTGGCAAAGGCCGATGAGCTCGTGCTGGTCACGAGATGGGGCACCCAGCTTAGCAGTGAATCCAAGAAGTGGCTCAGACTATACAATGCCAAGCACGAGATCATCAGCAAAAGCGAGATCCAGCGGCAATCAGCTGCAGGTAACCCAGCACCAAGCAGCGAGGCCGATGCTGCTGCATCCAGATCTTCAGCGGCGCCAGTGCTGCGTCCTTACCAGCAGGCCCAAGCTCACAACTTCAATTCGGGTAAAGTCGACGCCATGTTGGGCATGTTATCATCGTGCCCTATTCCATGCCACATCTGGAGCCAGAAGTCCTTTCCTTGCGTGGTGTCACAGTGTCTACATAGTGTGTATATGTGCAAAAAAAGCATAAATTAGCAAATCCACGTTTGTTCATAATATTTCTTCATGAGTGGTAAAGTATAACATGAGTATGTGTATGCATGTGTATGTACGTGTGTATGTGTATGGATAGATAGATACATGTGTAGATATATACATACTACTGAGTACATAGTTACATCTTATGTACATTCCTGTATATGCACGTACAGTTACATACACATACACTTGCATGTGTATATACATGCATGCATGCGTACATGCGTACATACATACATGCATACATGCATTCATGCATGCATACGTACCTGCATACCTACCTACCTACCTACCTACCTTCCTACCTACCTACCTACCTACCTACCTACCTACCGACCTACTACATACATACATACATACATACATACATACATACATACATACATACATACACACATACATACATACATAGATGCACACATGTGTGTGTCTACATCTTTATGTATATCTACATCTTTATGGACCTCTGTATCTATGTTTACATCTTCATCTATATCTACACCTATATCGATACCTAGATCTGTGCCAAGTTCGATATCGATATCGATATGTAATATGTGCAGAAGATAGCAGATAGACGCAGAAGATAGATCTCTCCCTCTCTCCCTCTCTTGTTTGTGTGTGCGTGTGCGTGTGCTTTTCCACCCTGCGCGTGCACCAGGACTGCCTAAAAGCAGTTGCGAATGGGGCGCGGGTGATTCAGATGGCCTGTGGCACCGGCAAAACACTCATGATCCGAGTGCTGGCCCAGAACGTGTCCGGCAAGGTGCGCAAGTCACAGCCTGCTAAGGATGTTTACTTGACCCATGTCTGACATGCTGTTGTTGCTTCAGTTTTCCCTTCCGACCATTACTGTAAGCATTCATTTCCAGTGAGTTCTGAGGCTAATTAGGATGTGTTCGGGTGTGCCCCATCTCCATGTCGGATTTGTTTTTGACAGGTGTTGGTCATTGTGCCATCCCGGTTGCTGCTGGAGCAGTTCGCTCCAGAGTTTCCAACTTTCTGCAAGGTCGGCACCGGCTACAACAAGAATATAAACCAAAGTGCTTTGGGCTTCATTGCAGTCTCGGATTCCGTCAAATTTCTCAAGAACATAACGTTCGCAGCAATCTTCGTGGATGAAGCCCACCATCCCCTGCCACCGGGGATGCCAGACAGCAATCTGCGACTCATCGCACTACTGCTCAGTTTGCATATGACATGGGCCAAGCTATAGAAGAGGGCGTTCTCTGCGATTACGATCTTACAGTGCCTGTAACAGTGGGGGGCCATGCTTACGCGAGCTTGGCTATCCTCTTGCTGACTCATCTAGGCCGCTTTCGGCGAGTACTTGCATATTGCAACAGCGTCGCTGAAGCAAAGCGTGTGCAGCACACATTTGAAGAAGTTGGCATGGCCGCGTGGCATATCAACGGGGGCACAAACCGCAAGAAGCGGGAAGAGGTGATGCAGGCTTTCTCTGGAGAAATGCAGAAACCGGTCCATGTGCTTGTGACGGTACAAGTGTTGGGGGAGGGCGTGAACATTCCCAACGCAGATACATGCATGTTCGTGGAGCCACGAGACAGTTACACCAGTATTGTTCAGGCCGTTGGTCGTATATTGCGACAGCACGAGAGCAAGCCACTTGCCCACATTATTCTTCCTGCCATGGCCTTGCCCGCAAAACCAAGCGCAGATGCGCGCAGCTTGCATCTGGGAGGTTCCCCGCACGAGGCGAGTGATGCTGCCAACGCAAAGTCTGGCCAGCCCGGCTGCCAAAGAGGCGGAGCATGTCTTGCTACTGCAGATTGGAATGGCGGATCCGTGGCCACTCTTGAACAGAGCATTGCTGTGGGAAGCGATGATGCCAGCATTGTGGGCTCCCCGGAGATGCGCAACCCCGGGGCTGTAATATCGCGTGCGACCCGGCATGCAGGCAAGACTTTGCAAAGCTCTGTCACAAGAAGCAGGCTTGTGGGGATGCAGGCGAGACCAGCCGATGCAATTCCGGAGCTAGATGGTTGTCGGACCGACGATCTGAAGCTGAAAGCCAGTGACTCTAAATTTGCACGAGACGGGGGCACGCGATGTAGAGGCGAAAGCTCGAGTGCAGAAGTGGTGTCTGCACCAAGCAATCTCAAACACGGCAAAGAATTGGGTGAGCTAGAGAGGACTCTGGGTCAAGCGAAAGAGCCGCAAGCGACTCAAGCAATGCCAGCCTTTCCAGCATGGGGCCGTGATGCACGGGAGTTTGTTGAGAACCGACACACAGACAACATGCCTAAAAGCGGCGGCAGCGATGTATTGGACGCCTTGTCGAGAGCCTTGCCACCGCTGCGGCACGGAGGTGTCAAAGAAGTCGTCGTGCCGTCCAGGCAGCATGCCACTGGTCGCGATCGAGTCAAGCCATCCAGCATTTCTGGTTCGCGAGCATGTGCAGATGAAGGCGTCACGTCACAGCTTGATCGTTTTTTATCAGTTCTCTGTCACGCGGACAGCCGCCTGTCCAGCAGTTCTTTGAGCACATTGCGATCTCGCTTCTGCTTTGCATACTGTAATTCGGTAGACAAGGTTAATGCTGCCACCGCACATGGCTGGTTCCGTCAACTGGCGCCGGTTCTGCAGAAGCAGGACCGTTTCGAAGCAAGAGTGCTAGAAATTGAGGACTTCGTGGAGCTCCACGGCAGGATGCCATCTGTAAAAGCAGACCAGGAGAATGAGAAGATACTGGGCATTTGGCTAAAGAACACAGGGTACGCAATCAGAAACGGTGGGATGGCAGCAGAGCAGAGACTTCAGAGGTTTCTTTCATCAACGTCGTCGATGATCCGCCGTCGTGCCTCGCTGTGGCAGAAGCCCTTTTTCCTGGTATGCTGTGCCAAGCTGCAGGACTACATGGAGAAGTTTCAGTCATTGCCTTCGACTTCTGAAGCAGCCGATGCTGAAGTCCGGAGGCTGGCGTTTTTCCTGTTCAATCAACGAGCCTCATTTCACCGACAGCCGCACAAATACGAGATGCAAATAGCGGCATTGAGCGCAACGCATCCTTTGGTCGCTGAGTTCCTCAACATCCCACCGCAACGGCGCCAAAAGACTTATGCAGACCAAAGTACGCAATTGCAGCAGTTTGTTGTCAGCACCGGGAAGCTGCCTCGCCCGACAGGGAAGTCTTCCGAAAGGACGTGCTACTGGTGGCTGGTGCGGCAAAGGCAGGGACTGCAGCAACTCCCGCAAGAAGTGCGGGCTCGGCTCTTCAGCTTACATCCCCTCATCACATGCTTTCTGCAAGCGAAGCCACGAACTCGCAATCGGCGAGCTGCAGCTTCACCTCAACCTAAGCGGCTGCGTACAGAAGCAGCTGCCGCAAGCAACGCGTGAGACTCTTTGTTATTTGTGAGCGTGACGGCTCAGCTGTCGAGCAAAGGCACATCGCCACATGCAGTGTCTGACGTTAGTTCTTGTGCATGCCGCACCCCAGGGCCTTGAGAAAAGAAGCGGTCTATGACTGTGACGTCAGCATGAAACGACAGGGCGCCTGCCCAATTTTTGCCCAACCCCCGTGCTTGCTGCCCTGCCCTGCCCTGCCCTGCCCTGCCCTGCCCTGCTCCGGGTGCCAAGTTCATTGCACCCGGTCTTGAGGCAGACAGCTCATTGTGTTACCGACGACGTTCTACGATGATGGCACGTGATTTCGAACGAGCTTGCTCCTATGTGCCCGTTGATTGTGCTCAGATGGTGCTTTGCAGCTCTTTGTAGTGATTGTATTGCTGTCCATTCCCTTTATAACTTTATATCGAATTGGAGCGGATGGATTGGGATGCGGGATCACCCGTGTGTCGATACTGCTGGCGTAGCGTGGGGCCCGTGCACAACGTCTTGGAAACTTGCAGTTCTGCGTCGCTAGCGATCATATGGTGATGACCGGCGGTGCAGTGTTCAGTGGGGATTCAGGTATTCAGGTACAGTCTTGCCGGCAAGCTTCCAGCGAAATACCGTTTACAGCACCTTATACCACGCGCTGACCTTTGTGTTTTTCTGCCAGGCTTACGGCGCACGGGGTCTTGTAGTAGGGTTAGGGTTGCAACCGGGTTTGGGGTTTGTCCACGATCCATCGTCGAGGCGCGCAACTGAGTGGCCGATTGCACTGGAGGCTATAATCAGTGAAGTGTTCGGGTTGATCTGCAGGGTTCAGGAATTGAAGTAGCCGTCGTTTCCTCGGCTCAAGCTGACCTTGCATGCTGCGAGTTTTGCTATGCTGCCGGACACAAGCCGCTCAGACTTCGATTGCTTTATCCCTGAGCGCTGGAGTTGGATTCGGCAAACTGACCAGGGAATGGGGTGGACTTTCCGAGATGCGAAGGAGCAGCAGAAGTTTGCGTTTGGGCGTTCTACCAGTCCACGCCTCCTTCATCCTCCGTCGAAGGGCTGGGCTCCTTTGCTTCAGTTTTCTGGCTTTCGGCATGGTGAGTGCTACTGGTAGCCTGTTCTTCGTGGGATCTTCTGCAGCCGATGCGAGACTAGCATCCAGATCGCCGAGGACAGATGCGCAAAGCCAGGGTTTAGGGTTGCTGGGCGTGAGCGGTTTAGGTTTGCCGAATCATGGCTTAAGGTGTTGGTGGTGCACAACTAAAGGGTGGAATAGCACTTGGTCGGAGGTCGACAAAAGCAACAGAAAAACACAAAACACTTCCCCACAACTCAACCCTCGGAACGGGAGCAGAGCCCCTCACGTCGAGGACCCAGTTGCATGCATTTTTGGCATTGCCAGCAGCTGATGCCACCCAAATTCAAAGTGCCTTGCGTGCAGTGAATGTAGCAAAGCATGATGTCCGGCTCGTCATGAGGCTTGTGCACAACACTCCATAAGATGTCAACAGACTGCTCGCTCCTGCACACGTTTTCGTGTCAGAGACAAAAGTAAGACAATCCGACTGCACGTGTCAAAGTTTCACATGTCCAGGCAGAGATGAGGCATTCCTGGCCCGCGTCCGTGGCCTCGCTGAGGAAGTGCTGACATGGCCACTCCTCGAGGAGCAACAGACTCTGGGACAAGAAGATTTACGTACCGGGAATGTCTTGTGGGATGCTTTGCTTGGATTCACGGGTTGCCGAGGCGGCCTTTGTATCAAGCCGTCTATCTTTTATGAACCGCCTCAAGGAAACTGGTTTGGTCTGCGTCGCTCAAGTTGGGTGCTGTGCCGCTTCAGGACCACGGCGATTGCATCCGTCAGCCACTAGACGAGTTTCTGTTTGGAGTGCAAAACTGAGTCGCGCAACAAAAGACATGTCCAGGAGTTGCCGCCTTGGATGTTGCTGCGACATAACCTGTCGCGTCGGGAAATGGGCCGGGACCTTATGAGATGAAGTGATACAGCCACTTGAGATGCCACTTGAGCACTTCGGGGGTTTGCTCGGTCGGTTTTCTGGCAGCCTGCTGTTAAATTTTGCCGCTCCATGTAAACTGTTAGTCATGTCGTCCGCACCTCCTCTGATGCTTCCATGATTCTTCTGCTCTCGAGGTGTGGACCTTCTCAGCATCGATGGAAGCAAAGCAGTCCTTTGCCGATGTGGGGAGGCGAATGGCACCGCAAGCCTCCGCGACATCAAACGGTTCCTGCGCACTGCTCGATGGGTTTGCAAGGCCAGGGGTTTGCAAAAGGTGCTCGCCCGATCTGGTCCGGAACATACTTAGTTGGCAAAGGCCGATGAGCTCGTGCTGGTCACGAGATGGGGCACCAAGCTTAGCAGTGAATCCAAGAAGTGGCTCAGACTATACAATGCCAAGCACGAGGTCATCAGCAAAAGCGAGATCCAGCGGCAATCAGCTGCAGGTAACCCAGCACCAAGCTGCGAGGCCGATGCTGCTGCATCCAGATCTCCGCCATTGCGCCCTTGCCAGCAGGCCCGAGCTCGCAACGTCAACACAGCTTCAGTTCAGTCTGAGCTTTAGACACGCCCTCCATAGTAGCAGCTATACTACTTGGCAACTTCGTTCCGTTCCGTGTTTGGAACTTTTTGCTGTCTTCATCGCATGGTACTGCAGCTGGCAGAGACGATACCGCAATACTGTTTGAGTCAGGCCTGCCTGGAAGCATGTGCGACGGGGGCTCGCGTGATCCAGATGGCTTGTGGCACTGGCAAGACGCGGGTTATCCGGGAGTTGGCCCAGAACGTTTCCGGGAAGGCTGCGAGGGTGACAAGCTCCTAAGGCTTTCTTGACCCAAGCAAGTCTTGTTTGCTGTTGCTGTCGTCATGCGGGCTTCCGGGCTCATATAGTCGTTCATAGTTGGACAGCACTACATCTGAGGGGAAGGCACCCTGTGCATGTCTGTCCTATGCAACATATATTTGGAAGGTACTGGTCATCGTGCCGTCGCGGTTGCTGCTGGAGCAGTTCGCTGCAGAGTTTCCAACTTTCTGCAAGGTCGGCACTGGCTACAACAAGAATATAAACAGAAGTGCTCTGGGCTTCATTGCAGTGTCGGATTCCGTCCATCTACTGGAGAAGATGGATTTTGAAGCCGTCTTCGTGGATGAAGCCCACCATCCCCTACCACCAGGGATGCCGAGGAGCGAGGAGCTATTTCTGTTTTCAGCGACACATCGCGATGCTCCAGATTTCGAGTACAGCATGGGCCAAGCTATAGAGGATGGCTGACCGTGCCTTTTGCTTCAGGCGCCCACGCTTATGCAGGCTTGGTACATCTCCTGCTGCGGCATCCAGGCCGCTTCAGGCGGGTACTTGCATATTGCAACACCATCGCCGAAGCGAAGCTCGTGCAGCGCGCGTTTGAAGGAGTTGGAATGGCAGCATGGCATATCAACGCAGGCACAAACCGCAAGAAGCGGGAAGAGGTGATACAGGCTTTCTCTGGAAGAATGCAGAAGCCAGCCCACGTCCTTGTGACAGTACAAGTGTTGGGGGAGGGTGTGAACATTCCCAACGCAGATACATGCATGTTTGTGGAGCCACGAGAAAGCTACACCAGCATTATTCAGGCCGTGGGTCGTATATTGCGTCAGCACGCGGCCAAGCCACTAGCTCACATCATTCTGCCTGCAGTGACCATGCCGGCAGAAGAACACACTCTTGCAGGAGGCTTGAATGAAGTTGGACAAATGAGTTTATCCAGTGATGTTGCTAACTGCGCTCAAGCGGACAGCTATGGTCAGGCTTCCGATGCACATCCTCTCAATCGGAGCTTGCTCGTCGGATCCACGACAGCTTTTCAAAAGGCTTCACCCCTCAGTGATACGGCTTTTGAGAAACCATACCGCATGATAGATTCGAGCTCGAAGTCGCAGCATGTACATCCGGTCATCCACAAACTTGCTTCAGGAAGCTTCGAAGGAGCATTTGCGAGAAAGTCAGATTCAGAGGCGCCAGCAAAAGCTTCGCGGCAGGCCCTTCGGGGTATCGGCGGAAATGTGCTGCACTCACCAGAACATGGCCCACACAACGAGAGCGCTGGAGATGAGCACGAACAGAATTTGACAACATTGGATGGCTCAGGAAGATCTTCGGCAGGAGCACTCGCTCTTCCCAGAGCATCGACGGCTTCACGAAGGCCGTCCCATAGTTGGAAGGGCGGCGCGCAGGACCTTGCAGAACAGCGCATAGAAAATATGCTGGCAGACACTCAAAGGCCAAATTCTGCACGGCTGGGTGCTGGTTCCGACAATATCAGTGACAGTCTCGTCACGTCATCTACCATGGAAAGCGCCCTCGAATCCCCAGAAGCTATGCAACGAAGAGAAGCCGTCTCAGCAGCTCCGCTGAGACACCATGTCGCGACTCACCATCGAGTGAAGCTGTCAAGGATCTCTGACGCTCAGAGAGACCAGTCTGGATTTTCGCAACTTGAGCGTTTCTTGTCCGTTCTCGGTCGTGCTGATAGCCGATTGGCTGTTCCTCACTGGGGAATGTTGCGGTCTCGAATCTGCTTGTTGAATTGTGGCTCTTCAGCTGGTTTTGACACTGCCACCGTGCAAAGCTGGTTTCGGCTGTTAGCACCCATTCTTGCCAATCCGGACCCTTTTGAGGCCAGAGTGCTGCAGTTGGAAGATTTCGTGGAAAAACATGGGAGGCTACCTTTTCCAGGTCGCCCGCCTCCGGAGAAGCAATTAAGCATTTGGCTGAAGAACACGGGATTCTTAATCAGACAAGGCAGTATGGCATCACAGCAGAAACTCGAGAGACTCCTTGCCTCGCCTGCCTCACCCGTCCACCGTCGTGCTAGAGAGTGGCAGACTGGCAGCCGACTATTCCACAGTCAGCTCTCCAGGCTGCAGGAATACATGGATCGGTTTCAATCCTTGCCATCGAGGTCTGCAAAAAGAGGTTCTGAAGCCCGGCATTTGGCATCTTTTCTTCATAGCCAAAGGAACCTCTTCCGCAGAGACCAGCACAGACATGAAACACGCAAACAGGCATTGAAATCAGTTCATCCTTTGGTGGAGAAATTCCTCAATGTCCCCTATCGAAGCTTCAAGGAACGATTTTCTTTGCGCTGCTTACAGCTGAGACAATATGTCGACCATGTTGGGCACCTGCCTCGTCGCAGCGGATCATCAGAAGAGTCAGTGCTTTGGAGGTGGATGTGGGCTCAAAGACGAAAGCTGCCTTTGTTGTCTGCAGAACGGCGAGCTAAGCTCTACAAGCTGCACCCACTGGTCACTAGCTTTCTTCAACAGAATGTCAGAAAGTACAACAAGGCAGGTCGAAGCTGTTAGCTGCGGTAGGGTCGTGAAAAGAGCCTGAAAAGAGCTGCTGCTTGCATCACAAGAGTCCTGCAAGCTGAAGAAGTGTCAGTCAACAGATCACCGCCTGCCGATCAATACTTTGTAGCTTAATGGTATGTCATGGTTCTACCGCTCCATGACTATAGTGAGTATAGTATGGACATATGAGAACATCTATTCTGCAAGTGGATTGACTGTCCTCGGCGTGGTGTTGCGGATCATCCTGCAATGCCAAAAAAGGATCGTCGCTTGGCCCTGGCTTTCTGGTCGAGCTTTCGAAATCACACTCACCAGCGCCTAGTCATAGTACTTCCCTCCTTGCATTTTTACAGGTTTGGTGTTGCCTTTCGCCAGGTGCGCTTGGCATTCTCCGCAGCCGTCCTGTGTCAGATTTCGACGGCTTCGACCTTCGGCGACCCGACTCTGAGATTGGTGAACTTGATGACCGCTATGCCACTATGCCAAACAAGCAAAGTGTGCATTGTTGTTTGTGGCAGCTAGGATGTTCGCAAGCGCGGTCTCGGGCAGTGTGCGTTAGACGTCGAAAAAGACGGAAGCCCTCCAGGATGCTGTTCGACGCCGCACGACGGTGGTCGGAGTCGCAGTGGCTACAGGCCCAATTCCTCCAAAATCAGTCGTAGAGCTGCGCCTGCAGAGTTGTATTGGGAAATTGATATATACTTCGTGCTTCTGCAGGAGGACAAGGATCTTCGACCTGGGTCCATCCTGGCCAAAGAGGCGCTCGGACTCGATGGTTTCGTTATGTTTCGTTCCTTTACATGGAGTCTTAGAGCCGTCAGAACCGCTTTCGAAAGGAACAGCGCGCCGGTCACTTATAAGCAGTCAGCTTGGGCTGTGTCTTTATAATGTCACCGGGAGAGCTTTCAGTTGCGCTCAATTCTCTCTGCATCCCTTCTCCGTCAGCAACTTCTGGCAGTGATGATATCAAAACTGCCGAGCTTTCTGCATCATCACACTACAATACAAAGTATACACTACACGCATGTATACACTTTGACTTTGATTTTGACAGTCCTCATCTCCGTGGTAAGCAACGAAATTGGTGAGCCCAAAACTCCGTAAGGCACAAAGAAGGCCCGAAGACGAATGAAGCCTGAAATCCTGGATCAGTACGAAAAGGGAGCCCCATCTTGTCTATGCAGAACAACAGGTGTCGGTTGCCGAAGAGGGCGTCCTCACCTTCGGCTTGACACTGAAGGACTGACTTGTTGCTGTGCTTGTGCCAGCAGAAGATCGCTTTCGACTTTCCGCCTGTGGTTTTGCCAGTCGCGCACTCCCATGGAGTTGTCCAGCTGCGATGCATGCGACATGTTGGCTGGAGGAGATCTTGGAAGGCTGGAGCTTGCTCTTCAGCTTCGCACCGGCGGCAGAGGCCCACGCCTCCAGCTTCGCGACTTCTCGGCAGCCTCAAGCAGTTATATCCAGAATGTATAGTCGACCATGCCATCATGTAGCTAGCGTGTACGATTCTGTGATTCCTACACCATCGGGGGGATACATAAAAAGAAAGCAAAAGAGAAACCTCCAGAGTTCTCGCCAGCCAGGGTGGCGCAGCAGATGGGAAGCTGCTGCCTTCTCTCTATGTGGCGAGGGACTTCTTCTGTCTCTGCGGCTGCCATAGACCAAATTGTGGACATATCAGTAGAGCGTAGCGTTATCACCTTAAAACTTGTTGATGCTTCGTGTATTACCTCATGACCGCTCGATCTTGAGAGGACGGCCGCCTCTCTGCAAGCTTCGCAGACAGCAAGGAGAGTTCCTTAGCTGCAGTGCGAGGCAAGCTGTCTGATACAAAGCTATCAGCGAACACCTATGACCTATGTTTTGAGATGAATGACAATTGTTCCCGATTATAGCATCCTAATTAGGAGCTCCACCGGAGAGCATAGCCAGGGTCAATCTTCAGGAGCTTCTGTGAGGTTCGGGTTCCGGTGGAGCAGCCTGGCGGCATGAAATCTCTGTCTTCTGAGTGCAGGAGGCTCTTCTTCGAACTTGGAACACGATCGGCATGAAAGCAGAGGTCGTGCCAGTAGAATTTTGCAGAATTCTGGAGCCAATAAGATCACTTCTCGTGACGATAGCACACAGTCCCAACAGAAACCATGCTACAGTACCCCCTCGGCACTGCGCTGCATGGCGGCCCGGCAGCTGCAGTGGCGGATGCGGAAATTCGGGACCCTGGTTTTGATGTTCGAGGTTCCCATGTGTTGGATACCCAGGAGACAACAGAAGCATCTGATTGCGAAACCGGATTGTGCCTAAAAGGCCGTCTGTCGATGTAGCCCCCTCGATGTCTTTGCCAGGAGTCTCCATGTTCGGCGGATCCCTTGCTGGGCGCTGAACTTAATCGACTCAATCGACCGTGAATTTCGAACCTGCTAAGTGAGTGAAGCAACCAGGCTTCAAGCACACAACTTATAGCAGAGACATGTTGCCATGCTGTTGTTTCGGTGAGTCGAGGGCCCTTTGCTCTGAGATCTGTGCCGGCAAACGTTTTTGGCTCAGCTCGTGTCGCATCGGGTGTCCAGCCAGGAGAACGGAGCAACCCGGCTTTGGAGTCCCTGAAACCTTTTGGTTCCCAAGGAGTACCTCTCTTTATGTGTTTTGTTGTTTTGCGGTTGTCCCTTTTCATGCTGAAGAATGGGTGAGGGAACCGGCGTCTCAAGGGGCTACTTGGGAACTAATCCTGGATCCTGAATTCAAAGCTAGGCTATCCCAAGACGTGTCTTTAAATAGGTAGGCCTCTTCGGCGAAATATTATGCGGGTCCCATAGCAGCAGACGGTAAAGTCGACTGCGCCAAGCCACGGTAGAGAGCCGAGGACATGGCGGACGTGGATTTGGAAAGTGGGTCCTCGCAGACCAGCTCGACTTGCACATCAGAACACTGTGGCTCCGTTGTCATGGTCCGCGCGATCGACACTTGGTTGCGGTAGGCATAAACCGCAGCCCTGCAACAGAGACGGTATTGGTTGTACGACGGAGATTCGCATATCCTCGCCTAATCCGTTTCTGTGCAAGATGCTGCTCTGACTGAGGTTTCTTTGCGTAGGTCATGGCTCTTCTCGGTGCTGTTGACCGTACATGAGCTAATGTAGTTATGTATTATATACTTCCAAACCGACAAATATGTGATATGATATGCATGTATTATATTAAGTATATAAGATGTAAGCCTAGAGCCGCCCACAGCAAACGAGGAAATATCTCGGATTGCTTTAACCGCTGCTGGCTACGCTGTCGCCTACTTCTTCTCCATTCATGGCAGCCCGGTCAATGATTCGGGCCGATGCTGCAACGGAGGTTTTAAGATCCCGGTGCAGATAGAACCAAGTCGTGACTTGATCGTGCTTGTGGGTAGGGCATCTCTCCTCAGTCCTTCTTCCTCTCGCTGTCTCTCTCTCGCTCTGTCGCACTTCTCTCGCTCTCTCTCTCTCCCTCCCTCCCCCGCTCTCTCGCACTATCTCTCTAGAGCTCTCTTTCTCTCTCCCTTTCTTTTCCGACAGATGCATACATACATGTACACGTATTACACACACATATAAAAATACATATATAGACTATATGGAATATACGTATATACGAGATATATATATACATATGTGTATATATATATATGTAAGATGCATACATACACGAACTATCTTTCCACATATATATCTCGTGTCTATTTTTGGATTTGATTATCATGGTTTTTGATATGTCCGTATGTATTTACACTTATGTATATCTATCTCTCGCTCTCTCTGCATGTGTGCATGCGTGCTCCGTGTGTGTGTGTGTGTCAGTGGCAGGGGGGGTATTTGTGCGTGTTGATGTAAACATGTGTTGTCACATACACACATGTGTATGTAAATGTTCACATACATACACTGACATACATACGCAAATGCATCTACATATACATGTACATACATATATATATATATATATATAACGCAGAGTTGTAAAGACGCGTACATACAGCACACGCACATGTAAGTTAATTTTATATACTTATATATATACATATATATATATAACAGAGACCTACCTACCTGCACCTGCCTGCCTGCCTGCCTGCCTGCCTACCTGCCTACCTATAATTACCATGCATGCCTACGTGCGTACTTACGTTCTTACATACACCTAGCCACGAAAACAAAGCAACAAATTGACCGAATAGCTAGCTGGCTAGCTCTAACTAAGAGACCAACTAGCTAACTGACTGACTGACTGACTGACTGACTGACTGACTAACTAACCAACCAACCAACTAACCAACCAACGAACTAACTAACTAACGATCTAACTAACTAACTAACTAACTAACCAACGAACGAAAGAACGAACGCATGAGCGCGCGAGCGAGCGAACTAACTAACCAACTACTTAACTATAACGAACCAACCAACCAGCCAGCCAGCCAGCCAGCCAGCCAACCCAAAAACAACTAATTAACTCATTAGCTAACCCGTAGCACTCTAAAGCCCTGGACTCCACACCAATTCGCCAAGGTTCGCGGGAGGATGCTACTCGGTTCTTGCAGCTGGCGCTTTCTGTTGCCCTCAGCGGGACATGCGCGCTGGAAGGCGGTGTTTGGTTCAGGGTTTAGGGCTTTTGTTGTAGGGCTTTGGGTGAGGCCGTCTCAGACGGTAGTCGCGGTTTCCGGGCCACCAGGCTCTGGCGACCCTAGCGGTTTAGGGTTTAAGAGTCCTTGCAAGAGAAAAGTCTGACTGATGCCATCCAGTCTTGCACATCCCCATTTGTAGTCCTTTTCGAACCTCAAGCCTCATACCTACTTCCAAAGCAATCCGTTTGCAGGTGCTTGCTTCTACGAAACCGCAGCACGTCAAAAGGGGCTCCTGGCCTTTGGTTGAAGAATCTTCTTTTAGGTCCTAGCTTAGCTTAGGGTCTTGAGCTCGCTTTCTGAGAAGGGACAAGCGTCCATGGCATGACGGCACCAAGCAGGTATGATCGAGGGTTCGACTTCTCGACCGGACGAAACCCCTATGCCACGCAGAGCACGCTGTGGTTCGCATCGAGCTGCATTGTTGGCGTGGTTGCCTTCTTTGTGTACCCCCGGGAGTCTTCGCCGCAGATCGTCCTCGCGACCCTTCAGCTGTCATTCTTTCTCATGTCGGCCCTGAACCATTGGTATGAAACAGTGGCTCACGGCAATTGGCATTGGCAGAATATGACCCGTCCCGTGCTGAGCTTGGCGATGGTCACAGGGGCAGTTTCCTGGCATCGAAGCAAGACTCACTCTTTTGCCAGCAGGTTGAAACCCTGTCTGTTGTGCATCGCATGGCCGTGTCTTAAAACATGCTAAACCATCGTGAGCGACACACCAAGTTGGCTCCTTGGGCGCAGTGCCATAATGACTCCGTCTGAGGCCCTACACCTTGCCTCCTGCTTTGGGCAGCTATTGCGATCAAGATCCTCTGCCCGGGAAGTAGATACCCAACTTGGTAGCTGCAGGAAGCAGAACAGTACCAACCCGTGGACACTACCAATTTTGCAGTGGACGGGACTCTGGTCCCGGACAAGTCCAGGGCAAGTCCAGTCTCTGCTACAGTCGTGACAGGACAAATCCACTAGGTTGGAGATCAGGAAATCATGACTCATGTCCTTACAAAGCAAAACGGGAGAGATCTTGCAGCAAAGGCAGCTCATGAAACTTAGCACCATGACAACAGTCTGCTGACTAGTTGCTGACAACTGTGGGCCCCCTGCATGTCTCCGCATGTAGCCCCAGTTCCTCCGGGCAAGGTTCCGATCCTCATGAAGGACACTCAGCTCAATCATTTCTGAGCTTGAGGCTCAAATCCGAATTTCGCAGCCGCTGCCCTTGAGTTCCGTTGTACAGCACAGGGGCGTAGACCCCTCGGAAGCTCTCGGCAGAGCGATGGGTATATACTCGGAGCCGGCTTTGTAAAGATGGGCTCATGTATAGAAACATACCTGTATATTCCGTGTTGCTCATTTATCGCCCACTTGGAAGCGGGCGAAAACTTTAGTGCTTCTATTGAGGAAGCGCCTACTCCGAAAGGTACAGACCAGACTTGCCTAGTCCAAGTTGTTTTCGCCAACTACGAAACAGTTTCGCCCAATCCCTGACGTGCAGACTCCAACCTTCAACACCAGAAGAGCGAACTTCGTGTTACCATGCACACAACAAGCATGACGTCCTAACTTGCTTTGTAACCTTCTATCTTCGTGTTAATTACGACTCCCGCCTTCGGGCATTCTACACTTGCCGTGTGTCTCGGTGTGTGTGTGTGTGCGTTGTGTTTTTGTGTGAGTCTGTGCCGTTCTGACCAGGCATAATTACAGTTACTTGATAATAAAGCCTTTAGCCTTCAACTCGAAAGTTACAACCCTAAACCTATGGCCGTAATTGATACTAACCCAGACTCCTGCTTCAGGTGTTTGCATTGGGCTTCATCACTAGGTTTTCTCAGGAACAGACCCTAACCTGTTCTGTGTTTGGGCTTGGGGCCAATGCAAGATGTCGTATTGAGGGTTTTTTTCGGCTCTTTATTACTGCATGCGGCAATCAGCATAAGGTTTTGGGATTGGGCTTCAGGTTTTTTGGGATGCTCCGAATTCCCAGCATTCGACAAGAATCATCAGCTCTCATCTCCAAGCCTGCACCTCATTCTATTCCACAGGCCCTAAACCCTAAAGTCCAAAAGTCTGTCAACCCTACCTCGGCAGAGCAAATCAAGCTTCTTTCGCTTGCGAGCGCAGCAGTATTTACCAAGGAGGTCCGGGGATCCCCAAAGCCAAGAAGCACCCGAAGCCCCGGGACGAAACACGCCAATCTTAGAGACTTATAAAGCTGCTTAGCCTGAAAATCCTTAAGCATAATATCGACAAGAATCCTTACCGGGCCTTACCGCTGGCCATGGTCACTTCGTCCGGAGTCCGGATCTCATCTTTCTGGGAAATTTCTTTCTCAGCAGGGCTTTGGTTTTGTACATCACCCTGTCAAACACTCTACAATTGCATGTTCGGGCAGATACCCTCCTGGCCAGTCTGCTGATTCGACCCACGTTATCCTCATTCGACTCGCAGGAAAAAACCATAGGATTTAAGATTAGTGGCAGCTTGCGCCGAAGCTGGCCCAGGAGGTCCGGAGGTCCTTGTTGACATGGTGAAGCGAATGCAGTTTCGGCTTTAAGCCGAAAGCACACACCCCCTTTCGATGACTCTCAGCTGCGCAATACTTGTATCCTCGCAACATCACTGACAAATGATGCTGGGCACGTTGGGCACAAGCGGGTTCCAACCATAAAGGATGCGAGTGCAGAAGATCAAAGAACACTGTGGCAGAATTCAAGCACTGCTGCATTGCAAGATAAATCCGTGCCGGGTCTGGTGGCATTGCCCGTAAAAACCAGAGAAGCCAGTGGGTCACCAAAGTATTGTCCGACCCCTTTCCATTGAACCACGGGAAGCTCGTAAGGTCCGGTGCCATCATGTTGTATTTAATGAAGGAACGACAAGAAGCAGTCTTGTGGTTAGCCAAACACCAAAGCTTGAAGCTTCCGTGTGCTCTTTCGAGTCTCGCAGGCACGTTGCGAGGCTCGTGGGGTGCGAGGGGGTCATCGAATTTGCCGGCAAGCGCAAGGTACATGATGGTGGAACCAGTGAGATCTCGACCTAACCCCACTTTCCAACAATGAAAGAGATCTAACTTAAATGAGGCTTCACCGCCCCGTGTGTCGTGTGGGATGCGCCCCAGTGCAGGCCCTTCGCCGGCCCACGGTCGTTCTTGAAACACGGTGGTCTCCCAGGTTGGGTCATCATCAAGACTTTCAAAACTTATGCCGGGTGCACCGGCGTGGCAGAGGTGGCATATCGGAATGTCGTTGACGACCCCTAAGTTGTAATAGCTTCTGTTTAAGTTTCCGAGCTGAACGTGAAATTTCATGTCGCCCTTCACTCCCAGAAACCCTGCGTAGTACCGGTCACCACCGACCGAAATGCCTTGCTCAACAAGATTTGCCAAGTCACTAGAAACCAGAGCGAAGGCCTTCTGCAAAAGACCCGGAAAATCTTTGTAGTGCTTGGCCTGCATCCCGAAGCACAGAAACTTGCTCAGATAACAATGGCCTTTGGCATTCGTTTGCTGAGCCATCGCTGTGCGTTTGACCTTCGAAAGCCTAGCTTCAGGAAACACAGTTCCTAGCCCACTGTACCTTTCTAGAACTGGGTCCGAGGCGCAGTCGCATGGCTTCGACTTCCGGCAGCTCTGTGTGTCGGAGCCCAAAGGACATTCTATGGAACAAACCATAAATTGGGACCTCTTTAAATACCGCCCTTCATCCCCGTGGATTAAGAGCGGAATCGTCCTTCGCATCAAGTCGGCCTGCAGGCTCTGCGGCGTTGTGAACATAGCATGCTCGGGGTGTACTTGCTTGTAGAATGTCCAGAAAGCTTCTAGTTCATCCCCAAGGCTAGGCTTGTTTCCGGACAGCAGAAAGGGATATCCTTCAAGCAAGTACTTGACCCAAGCACTTGGTCGGATCCACGGCAACTCGACCACATCACCACTTGTCGATGTAAACCGAAGCAAGTCCCGTGGCACTTTGAGCCCCATACCGAAGTAGTTGAACAGACGGTCTACATCACGAGTCGCATTGGTATCTGTCATCTCCCCAGCTACTTGGACGCCCAAGGCCTTGGAACTCTCCCGTTTGGCCGCTCTCAGATTTCGCGCGATGCCTGAGGCGGGAGCCTCGGGATGTGTGGAACCGATTGCATCCTTAAACCCTAAACCCTAAACCCTTAACCTAAGGTGCCGAGCTACACACTACACCTTCAAAGTGTGGCCCGCTCAATCGTAACGCTCCTTTCAGAAATCCCGTATCTTATACCTGGCTAGTTCACATCAACCGCCCCTATAATCATCCCCCACCCCACAAAAGTTTAGGGTCTAGGGTTTAGGGTTTAGGGAGCTCAAGCTGTGAGCTGCTGTTTGGGGTTAAAGTTTGGGAGGTTGCTTTTCGGCGGGAGTTTTCCAGACATGCAAAAGCCACAGGTGCTAGGGTGTAGGCCTGTTCGGGCCCAAAAGCATTTCTACATTTTGGGGTTCAGAACTTATAACTTATAAGATAGGATTTAAGACTAGTGGGTCAAGTCAAGCCACAAAGATACAACTGGGTTTCGCACCCCATCCCCGTAGTCCTCTGCCAACTGTTCCAAAACTGGCCCGGCTTCTGGTGTACCTGGCTAAGGGAATTCTTAAGTTGGGGTGTTGGGACGGTAAAGAACAGTTCAGGGCTTGGGTGGGGTCGAACTGAAGCTTTCATGCCCTTGCAAGCAGTTTGCGAGTTGCACTGAGACTCATTCATAAGAAACACCGAGTAGATCACGAGTTTGAAACTTCGGGCGTGGGCCCTAAACCCTAAACCCAAACCCCTAAACCCTAAACGAGGTTCCCGCGAGCTTTGACAATCGCAAGCTCAGCATAGCTAGGTCATTTCTGCTGTGTGCGACTGCCCGGCGTCAGTAGCAGGGGATGCGTGTGCATTCGCTACACACAGAGGTCACATTGCAAGCTAAATTACTTGGCTGTAAGAATCAGATGGAGCATGCTTTCAAAGCATGCCGACGGGCTTCAAGAAAGCCAATGACAAATGTCTATAACACATGCCTTTGGCAAAACACAACGAGAACAAAAGCGGTCTACGCTTTGGCTTTGGGTTTGGCCTTGCCCTTGGCTGCGGCTTTGGGTTGACCATTGGGCGCGGCCTTTGGCTGAACTACGGAAGGAGGCTTCGGGCTGCCCTTTGGTGCAGCTTTTGCCTTGGGAGCCTTGCGTCGCTGCGGAGTTGCGGGGGCTTCCTGATCAGCCTTCCTCTTGTGAGAAGACAGCAGGGTCCTGACAAGAACTCTGGGTTTCACAAAACAGACATGACATAACAAAAAAACAGACAGACAGTGAGAGAGTGAGAGAGAGAGGGACTGTTACGTTACGCTCGATACAAACTAGTAAGCATAGGCCCAGGTGCTTGATCCGCGGCTCCAACAGCAAAGCCTGGATGCACCTCTAGCGCCATTCTGAAATTGAATACCATCATTTCTTCAGTATGATGAAGCAGTCACTACTGCACAAGGTAAGATACGAACATCGCACGCATTTTGAGCAGGTGATCCTTCATCTGCTGCAGCATCCTCAGTTATGTCGAACCAAGGGTTTAGTATTTAGGGTTTAGGTTTAGGGGTTGTGTGTCGAAAAAACTTATCATTCGAGCTTAAGCAAGGAGCTCAACAGAGTAGCCATCAATGATGCCGGAATCATAAAGGTTGGTCAATTCTGTGTCTGCCGCTTGCAGCCTGTCGATGAAGTCGTCGATCTTGGCGTCCATCCTTGGGTCGTGCAATGCGATTGGACGAGAACCCTAGAGCTAGTGTGCAGCGTGAGACGCATAGAATTTGGAAGACTTTCGCACTCATTTGAGACAAGTTTCTTCTCGAGGAGAACGGTTTTCTCTCGGGTCGCTAGCTCATCTTTGTAATCTCGCAACTTGTTGACCCGCTTTTCTACAGCAACCCCGGCCTTGGAGTATATCCCACAAGGATTGGCAGCCTTTTCAATCTCCGGAAAGCAGCTCAACAGCTTCGGGTCAATCTCGGCTGCAGGTTGCTTGATATCCAACTGCTCGGCGACACCGCCAGCACCTCACTGTCGGGCATCCTATGCACTTAAGTCTTAAAGTACAGACTTAGATGTTGTGGGTTTTGAGTAGACGATGCATTAATTGCCGGGTTGTGTGTGTGTAGGCCGGGGGATGTGTCTCAACCGGGCTTATTTCCGGATTTTGGAAGTACCACTCTGTAACATTAGAAATAGCCCAGGGGCAAAGGCCAGGCCTTTGGTCCGGGGAGGCTGTGACGGGGTTGTGAGATGAGGATACGATGTTGGTGCTGTTGGCAACGTACATAGCTGTAATATCCCTGTTCAACCTCTTCACTACTATAAACTACTAGTAGTATAAGAGTAGTCTCAAGTGGTAGTACTAGTACGATATGTATATATTATATAGCAGTAGTAGCACTACCAAGTATAGCAATTATACATGTTACAATAGTCCTCGTAGTACTAGTACTAGTATTCAGGGATTCTGGCGAGCCCAAGCAACTCTATAAAGTCGATAAGCCCTTAACCCCTAAACCTAGCCGGCACTTAGTCTCGCTGAACCCAGTAAAGGTGCTATACTTCCATCGCGAACTACCCAACTACGACTGCTCCTTTGTCATTCTTTGCGGCAGAAAGCAAGCCTCCCACCCTGAATAACTATTCTGAGTCTATCCTTGTAGATAGGACATAAGCCGAATGGAAGCCATTTCAAGTGTTCTGCCGCCACCAACACAACAACGACACTACTACTACTACTACTACGACGACGAGCACTACTAGTAGTAGCACCGACGACGACAGGAAATACACAAATACTAGCTTTTCTCTCGCCAAGCAGTGGTCCTGCTTGCTTCCAAATGAATTAGGAATTAAAGGATCGACAGCGATCTGCCGAATCTGGAGGGCACACCATCTAGATATATACATCTCTGTCAAAGTCCAGTTTCACCGGCGTGGTGAACACTTCATACAAACGCAGAACTTTTTTCTTCCATTGGAAGGTCTCCCTTTCACGCACGCTCTTGGGATTCGCGACTGCTGCACAAGGTGAAGGTGTGACCGGCGGCGATATAGCCACATCATCATCGATGTTCTTGAGTTTTTCGCGCACATATTGGTATGTGTGCTGCTGCTTGAAAGCCTCGATGAATATATGGCGTTTCTGCCAACGGCGGAGCATCTGCACGTCGCTTTCGGAATCGGAAGTCAAGACGGGAGACAGATTTTGGCTCGACATTGCAAGTTGGAAACAGCTACAGAAAAAACAAGAAGAACTACTACTACTACTACTACTACTACTACTACTACTACTAGGCTTGATACCTAAACCCTAAGCCCTAAACCCTAACCCCTAAAACCCCTAAGACCCTAAACCCCTAAACTCTCAAACCCTAAACCCCTAAAGCCCTAAACCCTTAAGCCCCTAACCCTAACCCCTAAACCCTAAACCCCTAAACCCTAAGCCTTGAGCTCTGGGCCTCCACATGCGGAGGTTGGCTGTGGCTGGAAGGACGGCCGCGGTGGGACAAGGAAGCTTGTCAAAGGGGACCCTCTGGGGTTTAGGGTTTAGGGGTTTAGGGTTCGGGGGTTTAGGTTGAGGGGTTGAGGGGTTGAGGGGGTTAGGGCTGGGGTGGTTCTCTCACTTAGGGTCCCGTTTAGGGTTCTTTTTGTAAAGAGGGTCCCTAATTTGGAGAAGAATCATTTACGTAGGGTGCGGGGGTTTAGGGTTTGAGGTTCAGGGTCTGGGGTTTAGGGTTTAGGCTATCTACTGACTAAATCCTAAAAAAAGGAGGCCAAAGAACGAATCGCGGTCAGGAGCTGAAGCAGGGGCTTCGACAGTAATGGAATTCGGGCTTTTGGGTTCAGGGTGCTGGGGCGTTTAGAGGTTAGGGCTTGGGGCCCTCGGGTTCAGAGTCGGCTTAAAGGCTTTAGGGTATATATACCGTCTCAGGGGCCCTCACTGTTTAGGGTTTAGGGTTTAGGGCTTTGGGTTTTGGGTTTAGAGTTTAGGGCTTAGGGTTTAGGGTTCAGGGGGCCCCTTGAAAATGAGAAACTCCCAGAAAGCCTCACCACCAACACGGCGAGGGGATCTAATGCACAGCTCAAGCCCCAATCCCCACACAGTCCTACTCCATCCCCAAGCATCAAAGCCCGAAGTACGACTTCGGCACAAAACCAACAAATGATTATGATCTAGAGAAGTCCCAAGCCAATCCTCTAACCAGCCTGCACCAAACTCGAAATCCATGTTGATTTCATTGTCGTCCTTGCCAGCAGCCTCTTCCTCGTACTCAAGCACCTTGCGAACGAAGGACCGCTTGAAGTTCCTGCAGAGCGCACGTAGGCGTAGGCGTTGGGCTTTAGGTTAAAGTAATGCCGCAAAAGATGTTTATGCCGGGGAACTTCTTCTTGCCCCTGACCTTTACGTTGCCCCAGTACAACACTTCGTCATCGTAGAGAGACTTCCTGTTCAGGGCAGGGCTTGGCAACCAGATCATTCGTGCTTTCAGGTATTCGATTCGCGCCTGATGTACCCTTTGTGTTTTTTGCAGTGCTCCTTGACACCGTTGATGCGTTCCCTTAGATATTGGGGTGCTACTCATGCAGCCTAGTCGGCACTCATCATACCACAAGAAATAACATGGTGACCGGATTGCCGCGCAGCATCTCAGACCATCCCTTGTCCTGCATCTCCTCCTCCGTCATGAATTCCCAGTCCTCATCAACCTCTACCTCATTGCCTTCCTCCGTCACTTTCTGGACTCTCCTGACAAACTTTTCCTTGGTTGCTCGGTGCAAACCTTCAAGTACTCTAGTGACACTAGTGACTGGTGTGCACGAATAGTGGAGTAACCCGCAGATTTTATGGAGCCCGTTCATAGACAAGCTTCCGAGTTGTAGCCACACTTTTCGAACAGTCTGACCACAGTCGGGCGGGTTTGCTTGTTTTTCCATTCGGCGACCAGCTCATCGGGAACGAGATAGGTCCCATCCTCCCTCATCTTAAAGACCCTATACATGCGCTTGTAGATAGCTTTCTCGCTGACTTCGGGAAGATCGGGCGGGGGTTCAACTGTTTCGCCATCACCGACACAGGCAAGGTAGAATTCTTCATGGGGCTCTGCTTCGGAACTCGGGGCTCGCACTGCAGCCTCAGGGTGGGGCATCTCATGAGGTTTGGGGGTGCCCATGTCTGCATTGATTCCTTCACGGGGCTCTGCTTGGGAACTCGGGGCTCCCGCTGCAGGCACAGGGTGGGGAATCTCAGGAGGCTCGGGGGCGACCATCCCTGCATTGCGGCGGTTGCTTGCGAAGTCCTCCCATGCTTGGGTGCCGTCGGGAAATGACTGGCTGTCCTTCAGGGGAGGAAAACCAGCAATCAAAAGCGACAGGAACTTCAATCAACCAAGACTTGATTACGATGCCTCCAGATGGCCTGCCCGGGCAAAGTCTACGGACAGACTTCGTTTGGGGTCTTCTACGGGCGGGGGCCCGCCGTGGCCTTTGCCCTTGCCGGCTTTCGGGGGTGCGGGTGCCGTCTTAGGCTCGGGCGCCGCATGGGGTTCTGGATCTGCCAGAGTCGGGGCTTCGGATGGTGCCGGTGTTTCTGGCAAGATCTGTGTCTGCGTAAGGAGAGGTACATCAACGTGAGCAGCGAGCGGTGATTTCAAGTCTTCTGCCTGACAATAAACCAGACGAGCAAGCAGAACAAAGCTAAACACTCTAAGAGCAGGAAATCATACCAGGCCTCGAGCTCTGCAAGCTGCTTCTCCAACTCCTCTAGTTCAGGATCCGGTTGGTCGGAACACAAGAGCTTGGACAATTCAGGGTTCTGCTCAGCAATATTCGCCAAGCCATTCTGAAGTGTGGCGGAAGACCACACTCCACTTCGGAGCCCGTCCATCACCATGCCCTGAAACCAAAGGCCACAAAGACAGCAGGCAAGGCCAGCCGGCTGCTTGAGTAGATCTCAGAGCATCCACAGAAAACAGCGGAAGAAGATCATGTTTGCTGCAGCATCGAGGAAATCATGACTAAGCCCTATGAGGGGTATTTTGGGGTCCCGCCCAGACCCGCCCCAATCCCGCACAGAAGCGCCCATATCCCGGGCAGATCCGCCCACTTCCGGTTTCGAAAAAAAGTGCTAAAAATTGAAAAAAACAAACAAAGCAAGACACCAGCAAAAAAAAAATCACAAACAAACAAACACATCGCCCAGCCCTGGAATGGATGTCAGTGGTGTTGGAGAACACTCTGCATTCAATTCTGAAGACTTGACTGTCTTGCTATTTGCTGAAATCATGCACAGCCTTCATTTGTCGCGTGACAGGCAGCTTGTCTGGCTTCAGAGCCGAGTCACGGGGTTAATTGATTGAATTAACACGGCACTTTGACTCCATCACCCTGTTCTTGGGAAAAGGCTACGGAAGCTTTCTGGGATCCGGAGTCTTTTGCTGTTTCGGACATATTGAAAAGCTTCGCACACAGCGGCATCATCCCACGGATCGTCGCAGGGCATATCTGCAATCAGCTGACATAGTGTTTTCTCCCCCATTGCCTTGGTATTCGGCTAGCTTGTCACTGTGTAGATGTATACGGGTGGCCGTGCAAGCTACACTGCTACACTATAAACTAAAGTTATGGCTCTGGGCTGAGGGGGCTCCTTGGTTTCTAACGACCCGAACAAACCCTATGTTTGCAAGTTTTCCTGCGGCTGAAGGACTGTTGCAGGGGCTGGCTTTCCACAGGAGGACACCCAGGCGGGGAAGTGGCGCACGATTTCCGCACAGAAAGCGGGCGTGTAGGCCCTTAGCTTCTAGTTAGAGTAAACCCTGCAACTAATGAATAATAGTGTTGTAGCAAACATAAGTCTAGCTATGTGCGAGGAAACCCAAAGCCAGGATTCTGGGTGCTTTTCAAGGAAGCCGACCCATGAAATCGTTTCGCTCCATCTTTGTCAACGTAGCGTCTGCTGGTTGCCACTCGGGCAGTATGCTTCTTCTTGGCGACACGACCTTTATCGAACTTGGCAACCCAAGGGGAGGTACTCCAAAGGATTGTTCGTTTCCAACTTGCAGCACCAAAATGGTACATCCAGAATGATTGCCGGTAGACCTCAGCTTTCTCGACATTTTGAGGTGGACTATTACGGGTTTTTCGGGTAGTAGGGATTCAAGGGTCTCGGTTTCTTCGAGTCCAAAGAGCTCGCTCTAATCCATCACCCGTTTTACTGAACTAGCATTTATGTAAACGCAACTTCCCAATCCTGAAAGTCTTAGAAGCCATCTTTGTTCAAGCCTCAGCTGGAAACTCCAAATCTTAGCACGCCTAGATTCTGGAACAACCCTCAACACCACGACCTGAACAACCCCAAGCCCGCCAATCACGAATCCCAGCCCCAACTCCAGCACAACCCTCAAACCCACGACCTGGACAACCGCAAGCCCGAAAATCACAGATCCCAACCCAAGCCTAGCCCAGCCCCAAACCCTGCGACCTGGACCCCTGCAAGTCTGAAACTCACAAACCGCAGCCCCTAGAATAGAAAACCGTGAGCCCTTAACCCCGCTCCCTGCCCTAGACCTAGAGAACAGCAAACTTAACACCTAGCCACGAATTGAACTCGACTTCCGAGACCCTAAGCCCGGAACCCTTATCAAGTCTAAAGTAAACATCCTAAGATTTGGGGGCCGAGGACTTCCAGTGGCCTTGGAGGATTTGTTTTAAGATCAAGCCTATTTCGAAGAAGTGGGTCTACAGCCTTGGCACTAACCCATATCCAACTTGCCCCACCCCTATTTTAGCAGCAGGCACTTTCACACCAATGGAACCGAGCTGGTGAATCATCCACTGGAATCGGTCGTGTAGAGCAAGTACCGAACTTCCCGGATTTTCGATTAAAGGACAGCCCCCCGAAGCGATTGATGTCATCACCAGAAGAATGCACCTGCTGCCACAGGTGCTACTGATGACTGAGTTGCTGCGGCAACTGAGCTTTTGCGGGAGAGTTGAAAGGGATTTGGGATTAGGGGCCCTGAACCCTAAACCCTTAAACCCCTAAACCCTAAACCTAGGTATGGGTCGAACATCTCAAGGTTCTGCAGATTCAAGGTTTGATTTGCGAGCTTCGGTGTAGAAGTGCCACAGGCATTCGACTCTCCTGCCTGGACACAGTGGTAGTGTGGCAGTGGTAGAGAGGTAGTGGTAGAGGTAGTGGTAGTGGAAACGGAAGTGCTAGTGGTAGTAGTAGTAGTAGTAGTAGTAGCAGTAGTAGTAGTAGTTGCAGTAGGAGTGCTAGCCCTAGCAGCAGCGGCAGCAGCAGGGCAGCAGCGGCAGCAATAGGAGTGGCGTTGTAGTTGTTGTTGCGGTTGCGGTTGTTGTTGTCGTGGAACTGGTAACAGAGTAGTGGTAGTGACAGTGGTTGTGGCGGTGTTTGCTGCTGGTTCTGGTCGTGGTTGCGGTGGTACTTGTGTTAGGGTTTAGGGCTGACTACTAGTCGCCGCAGCTAGCAGCAACAGCAAGACAACACGAAGAGGAGAAGCAGCACTGGAACCACACAAATCTACCGGCCTGCCTGCGTGCGCCCTGCTACCCTCAAAGATTATTCAAAACCCAACCATTCCCCGCGAACACCCCTATCCCTAAACGTTTTTATTGCATCCTCGGCCCAATTCTCCCGAACCTCAGCATCCGTAACTACTGCTACCAGGACGTGACAAGCGGACCTATAAAGTAATACCGTGTAATACCTCAACAGCATAGCTTATATATTATTTTATAGGTCCGGTTGACACGTCTTGGTAATGCCAGCTAGGTTAGTCGTTGGGTTTGCTGGTAAGGCAAGTATGAACAGTTCGAACACTTTCTGATCGATGTTGTTTTCGCGAGCATGAAAACTACTGCTGGGGTTCAAGCTTGGTTATGTACATAAGAAAACGAATGCTAGTGGGTAGTTGTACTGGCTTTGTGAAATAGACAATCCAAGACTTTGCTTTATACCTACGACGGACTATTAAGTACAAACACTGCTGTTCTGGTGGTAGCCCGAGAACAACTAGGCACAGCATGGCCTCGCGACCATCTTGTTGGCCTGCCGCACCGAAGGTTTGGTAGGGTCTCCCATAGCATTGAAAGAACATCTCCCGGAAGTCCCTCGGTTGATCGACACCCATGTCGAGCAACAAATCGCAAACATGCTGACACACGAGCTCCACTTCGCTTGCAGCAGAAGGATGATGCATAACCTGAGCGGGAAGGCGGGCCAGCAGGGTTGGTTGATGAGACCTAGAAGACCTAGAACCCGATGCACGAGTGCGCGTGTGACCTATCTCCGATGCTGCAAAAGCTACACGAAGCCGGCAGATCCATTAATGTCCATACAGCTAGCCATCTTCTTGGAGTTGCGCTTCTTTCCATGTCGGGGACATTTTGGAGCACCGTAGTCTAGATCGAAGCCTGCAGATGTGTACTTCCTAGCAGATGCCAAGCGGGTGATTCTGCCAACACCAGCAAAGAACTCGATCATATCGTATTGGCTCTGCAAACTGAAGACATCCAGCCAGCTGGTCATCAAGACTAGGAGCACATAGACCTTGGATTGGACTGTTTAGGGTTTAGGGTTTTAGGGTTTAGGGTTTAGGGTTTAGGTTTCCGTGGCTTCATCTAGAATTTAAATGACCCATGTATCGTAATCTAATGTCGATGTGAACACTGCTTGGGAGCAAAGGTACCTTGGGTAATCCCATGTGAATCATGGTTCGTAGAACCACCTCCAGTTGCTCTGGCGTCATCAGAAAGAACAGGAGCCCAAAGACGGCAAAGTGTTTTCTGATGAGCCACAAATCACAGGAAGCACTCGATAGGCAATCAGTTGCACAATCCTGCTTCCACGCACACAGCCGGCAGCTGAACTTGACCAAAGACCCCGAATAATAAACATGTCGGTCCGGACTTGCTGCCAGTGTGTTTGGCAGCTTTCCACTTCGCGCATACACGGCCAGCCCACGCATGCTGGGCATGGCTAGAATCAACGAGTACCTTCCAAACTTTCCACCGTGAGCTCGAAACATCGATGTGGGATTGTGCTTCAAGGTACGAACTGCATTGCCGACACACAACTCTTGGTTTTTTCCCGGCGGATCTCCCAATGACTGGCCGCTACGCAATCGGATTGTTGCTCAATGCCCAGCAGAAAGGAGGAAGACTAACCCCACGTCTGCTAGGATCCCCCAGAAGCTCACGGAACATCAAGGCCCAGCTCACCAATTAATTCAACCACCATTTACTACTCAACGGATCCTGTCATCCCGAGCTTCTTGGAACAGAGTCCCCGCAAGACTCATGCACAAAACTATCTACTCAGCCTCAGCGGTTTCATCGTCTTTGACAACTCCGCACAAAGCCTCCTGTTTGAAATACTCAGGCACGAGCTCAAGAGCCAGGCACTTGTATCTGTCGGCTGTAGCATTCTCCAGGCAGTGAGCTGGGTACCAGTTCGTGAAGAACTTAAGGAAGTGGTCCTGGCTGCCAGCACTTCAAAGCAAAACGGAGTCCTGGTACTAGCCTATAGCGCTAGCCAATGCAATGGTCCTCCATCTTCGACGGCGCATAGATGCGGGGGGCGATCTCTGCGTGGTATGCGTCCCGTAGCCCCAGCCATTTCTGGCGATTCGGCCCGGAGTTTGGGCAATACCGGCGAGCGAACGTCTTGCTCTGGATCGAATCCACCCCAGCCGCTTCACTGCCCGCCGGTGGGTCACACGACTTGGGGATCTTCTTGCTAGGGCCTGCTTCCGTGGACTCAAGCTTCTTGCGCTTGTCGCCAGTCTTTTTGGCCTTCTTCGTCTTTGCACCTGTAGCCTGGTCGGCGTCCTCCGGAGCAGGTTCGTCACCCGGCACGGCCGCAAGCTGCTGCTCGTAATGGACAGTTTTCTCAGCATCGGAGTGGTGAGGAGTTTCCTCCTCCGGCTGCTCCTGGAGTCCATCCTCCTCAGTCCGGACCCCGCGCTGTTCGTCACGTCGCACAGCGGCTGCTGGCCGCTTCATTCTTCCTCGTCCTCCGCCCCGGCCGCGACCGCGGCCACGGCCAGAACCTTCTGCCTTCTGCGCGTTCTTCAAGTTCTGCTGCTCCTTCCGCGTCAAGGTCTCCTCAAGGCAAATGGCAGAGAGACTCTAGACTCTAACCCCTAGAAATCATGCTGCAAAACATAACACAACAAAGGTAGCACGCCTGTGTCTTGTGAACATCGAAAGCAGCATCTGCTGCAGCCGGTTTGTCATGTGGCTCATCGGGTGTTCCATCGGCACCAGGATTTGCGCTGTCGGTGTCCGGATTGTCTCCCGGCTCCTGCAGTGGAGGAAGGGATGACCAAAAAGGTTTCAAGGACTCCAAATCTATAGGATAAGGACTATGGGCTCTTGCTCCAGAACTATATATGGCTCTCTCCTCGGACTCCTTGTCTACGGCCTCTTTGGGCTCGGATCCATGTTCCTTCTCTTGGTCAACGGCCTTCACCATGGCTCTCTCCTCGGACTCCTTGTCTACGGCAGGGGCCTCTTCGGGCTCGGATCCACGTTCCTTCTCTCGGTCAACGGCCTTCAACAAAATATCGGCTTGCACAAACAAAACAATTGCAAGCAATCTCGGACTCCTTCTGTACGGCTGGGCCTCGCTGGCCTCACGTCCATTCTCCTTGTCTTGGTCAAGGAGCCCCGGCTCCACGGCCATGGCCTCAAGCGGAACATCGGCTTGCGCAACCGACCTACCTCGGACTGCTTCTGTTTGGGCGGGCGGGCCTCGCGTTGATTCTCCTTGTCTTGACCATCGAGCCCTGCCTTAAGTAGAACAGGTTTGCGCGAAAAAAACACTCTAGAATCGGTTATAGAATCAACCCTGTCGCTCAGTATGCCTTCTCGGCCAAAGCGATGATGCCAAAGTGGGGCTGCGTCTCGGCACTGTCCATGTCGGCTGGGTATGGAGGAAGCTGTCCTGCATGGGCTCAATACAGCAAAACCCTATCTAGAGGATCCAAAAACCTTTTATGTTGCATGGATGCTGACAGTAAGATCCACACCTTCAGCACCCAATGATGCCTCCTGCTGAACTCCTTGCGCAAGCAAAAGCTTGCGCTGCTGGATTTTCAGCCTCATCTGCATTGCCAGGCGCCACACACTCTCGCAATTGCAAGAAAGCAAAACTTGAAAACCAAATCTAATCAAAGTAAGCAAGCTCAAGTAACTTCAGCTCATCCATACGCTGCTTGCGTAGATCACTGCGCGACTCTGCTTGGAAAGGTGCTTTTCTCACATAAGATGTGACCGACGGGGCGCTGGGTGTCTGCGAGGGCGGCTCTGGGGCCTTGTGCTCGGGCGTCACTTCTGCAGCGCTGCTGCGGGGGGACTCTGGCACAAGCTGGCAAGATGCTGGCACAACTCCCAAAGACTTGCACAAGTCATCATCATCATCATCCTCCTCATCCTCTAAAAGGTCTTCTTCACACTCCTCGGCACAGTCATACCCATCATCATCCAAAGCTTCAACCGCCTCTTCAGCCCCCTCGCCCTCTTCCTGGAGTTCTGGACCTGGCCAGTGGCTCCGGTAGAAGGCGTAGACACGCTCAAGCTCAGAGTCCTTACCAATGAACACATGCCAGCAAGGATTTCAAACCGAATTCACACATGATGCCCTGCAAGAGTTGATGGCAGGCATCGCGTCTCTTGCTCGATGCATACAGCCGCCTGTTGATCAAGCTGACAAACTGCTTGATCGCATGACCCTCGCAAAGGACACTCGCTGGATCCGGCTCCATCTTCAAATCCTCCCGAAGCTTCTTGACCTTCACAGAAATGAATTATCTATTAATGTTAACCAAGCCAACACTTTCACTGAACACACTCTGACCCTACCAAAGCTGCCTGCTTCTTCACGGGGGCCACAGGCAGAGAAAGCTGGGTACTGGACTGTGGGCAGAGGATGGAGCCCACTACCAGCATAACATCTGCATTCAAGCGCAAAGCCTTCTGTGTTACAACTCCGGTCTGCTTCGGGCTCGGCCAACACAGCAAGGTTTTCGTCTCAAGGATGCGCTTGCGGCAGCCCCTGTGGTCATCAAAAGCAACAGCCAGATCATCGCAATGGCCTTTCGGGAACACCGTTCTCTTCTTGGGAGGCATAATGCCCCCACCAAGCTGTTACACCGAACACACACACACACAGACACCGGCAGACACCTATCAAATCGTGCTTGAGCAAGCTATAGCAGCTATGCACAACACGGAAGTTTCTGTCCTGCCACATTTGTAACCTGACCAAACAAGGCTTGCAAACTCCGAGCAGAAGGGGCACACGAAGATCTGGATGAACATCGGTAGACCTGCACAAAGCCATACACATCTGCTAGCACAGCTACTTTAAACAGTACTGCCCTAAGCAAGAGGGCAACATTTTTCCCCTGCCGTGCCATGCCAAGGTCTCGAATGTTGCGTGTCGATACACCTTGCTTCAGCACTAGACCCACTTGAGCAGGCGTTCATGACACCTGGCCAAACACCTTGCACCAAAATCTCGCTTGGTGTCTTCAGTCCTTTCCATGAGAACCTTGGCTCCATAACTGACTGAGAGCATGCCTGCCACTCGACAAGCAGAAAATTGACGGCACATCCCTCGCAGCCGAAAGACTCAGCTTCTGAAACACACGCCACAGCAACCACGTCGACCCCTTGTGGTAGAAGTTTTCCAGCAGATTGCGGAACTGTGTCTCACTGATGCTTGCCTCAGGGGCACGCCAGAGTTCGGGCTTTTCATTCGAATCTTTACAGAATCGCTAAGACCGACAGCACTGCATGCAGCCAAAGCTCATCAGACGTTGTCGGGTGCAGCACGTGGTTGGCTTGGACCCAAAATGCACCAGGCATGCTCATCAAGCCTGACATCTGACAGATTTATACATTCTATGCATACCGGAGTAGTCATCAGAAACGGCCCCCGGCCTGAATCGTAAGCCTTCTTCACCAAGACTTGGGCGGGAACTGTACAGGCCATGGGCACTGGCGACGAAAAGCTACGACCTTGCTACCTACGGTGGCGACCTGAGCTCACAAAGCCAAAGCTACGCCAACACTGGCTGTTTGCCGCCTGTGCATGCAGAATACCTCGCATGTAACAGGCGTGTCCTCTTCCACTCTGAAGCGAGCCTCGCCGATGACAACGGTGCACGTACCTGGGGCTTCTTATCTCCAGGTAATCCGAAATGGGATGCAGAGGGATCACTCCGATCGCTGATCCAAAACCTCAAATCTCTCCGCAGGAAAACCTGAAACCTGCACAAAACTCACACAGTGCTGCACCTACAGCAGCCAAGTGGGATGCAAGCGGAGGGCACTCACCCTTTGCTCCGGCTGAAGCAAGCCGACATCCAACAGCGGATCCGTCAACAGTTCCTCCATCGGAAAGCAAAACTGAAACAGGAAGCAGAAAGCCCGGACGCAACAATCAACAATGGCCCACCTTGCTGACCACTTTGTTAGGAAAACGCAGCGATCCACGAAGGAAGGCCCAACAATACCTGCGCTCTACTGACGGGATCGACCATGATTATGGCTTAGACTGCGGAAGGGAAGAAGGGCGCACAATTCCGATGGCGCGCTGCTCGCCAGCAGCCGGAAACCTACCCTGATCTGAGTGTTGTGCTTATTCTCGTATGTCGCGGTGGAAGTTACCTGAATTCGCACATCTCATCCTGAAACAAGTACACTAAGGAATCTTACAAAAAGCTTCCAGAAACACTGTGGTTCAGGATAGCATGTTAATTAACGTCCAAAGTGGGCCGACATGTGACATCCACGAAAGCTTGAGCACCAGACGCGTTAAGTCAAGTTTCGCCCAGTCATGCACATAATGAACTAATTTTGTTAGAAGCGCCCAGAAGACCAAAGACTTCTCGGATCCGCCCAGGCATTCCCGAAAAGCTTTTTGCCCAAGCGGGCATAAATTCAACAGCAAACCGAATACCCAGGTATGCCTGAAATTAGTATATATGAACCTATGGCCTCTGAACCGGGGTTGCACTTGAGAAGCGCGGGGCTTGCAAATTTTAAGTTAGCTCCAACTCAGGCAAAAGTGACCGTCGCCTCCTCTGATATGTGCTCTCGCTTTGGATCAGCAGTCTCTGGGGATCACTATATATATATAATGTGTATATATGTGTTTATTTGTTCGTGTTTTATTCAGATGAGAGAGAGAGAGAGAGAGAGAGAGAGAGAGAGAGAGAGACAGACCGACAGAGAGACAGGGAGACAGAGTCAGAAGAGAGAGAGGGAGAGACAGAGAGAAAGAGCGAGAGAGAGAGAGAGAGAGAGAGAGAGTGGGAGAGAGAGCTGTTGGTGACCACTGGCTAGTGTTAGTACCCTTCTGAACCTAGGAAAGTTGGGGGACCACCGAGGAAACAGTTGCAGCTTGAGGTTGGAAGTCTGTGCTTTTAGGTGGGAAGTGTTGTGGAAAGTGACGTGGTCCACCCTGTCATACGCGCTCGGATGACCTGCCTGGGACCTCTGAGGTTATGCCTGGTTATGGTTTAGGAGGGGTGTTCCTTTGGGGGTTTGCAAAGATCACGGGCAGGGGAACGAGGCGTTACCCCGACAAGGGGCCTAGAGGACGAACCGACGCGAACCATGGGGGTAGGCCTTCGGGCCAGGAGTGCATGCACTCCACACCCCTAGCAAGCAAGCAAGCAAGAGAGAGAGAGACAGACAGACAGAGAGACAGAGACAGAAGGAAGACAGAGAGAGGCAGAGAGAAAAAGAGAGAGAGAGAGAGAGAGAGAGAGCGAGTCGCAGATTTGGACCGGCAGACATTTTGGGCTCAGCTCGTGCGGTTTCCTGCGGGGAGGGTGAGCAAGCGAGCAACCCGGCTGCAGAGTCCCGGAACCCTGAATCCTCAATTTACCTGTGTCCCAAAGCGCTTACCTGCGTAATGTAAGCGACATCAGAGTACAGAATCTCACAAATTAAGTTTTTGTTGTGGGTCCAGGTCAAACTTAGATTTAGTCCTTCAGACATGCCGAGCCTCGTCAAGCCAATGCACCGTTGAGCCAGAAGTACAGCCCACGGTTCAGAAATGAGTGAGACAAGAAGCTCCGAGTTCAGGAAGGCTAGGGTTTTAAAGTATTCTTGTTATATTATTATTATTATTATATGCAACGTCATGGGTGCACAGCTTAGTTTGGCTTGTGGTGGCATGCTGGGTTTACGGAAGGGCTATTTTGAGGGAAGGAAGTGACCCGAAGTTGGAAAACGATGGTTTAGCTTCGCCGAAACCTGCTTTTCTGCGCTATCGACTACACACAGTGCAGGAGACGACATGAGCCACTATGCAAGGCATAATGAGAACTTGCCTCGAACGGTTCGCAGCAGCTACAGACTTGATTCAATCTGTGGGAAAGAGCGGAGGAACATGGCAGACATGGAGTTGGAGAGTGGATCGGCGCAGTCCAAATCGACCAGCACTCCGCAAGAGCGCCGTGGCTCCGTCGTCATGGTCCGTGTCATTGAAGCTTGCTTTCAATTACCCTGGACTGTACGCCGCACTATCTTCAACAGTCACGATTATTTCTTTCATCTGCACGTTTATAGTTGCACGACAAGATTAGCTGATTGGGTGCCGGGTGTCCGATGATCAACTCGGGAGGCCGGAGTGAGAGCTCCCTTACATGCATCCATTGCTCTTCCATTCAGGGGGGGGCACCAGTGAAGGATTTTCAGAGCCGAGAGCAGCATTCTAGATTTGGCCTCCTTCCGTAAGTGGTCTGTCGGGTTTCCGGGCCTGTAGATTCGTAGCCGATCTTTCTTGCAAGGGCGACCCCAGGGCCTGAGCTTAGCTTCTCATGCAGCAAATGAGGAGTTCTCTCGGATTGCGCTGGCCATTGCTGGCTACGCCGTCGCTTACGTCTACTCTGCGCAGGGCAACTTGGTGGGGAAGATCAGCTGCTGATGTCTCAAGGAAGTTGTAAGATCCCAGTCGATTCGATGCAAAACTTCAAGACAAAGCTAATCAAAATCGTGCTTGTAAGCATTGCCTCGTTCAGCATCTAACCACGTACTTATAACAAGACATGTTCACTATCAAGTCCAGCCACTCTCCACCTCAGAATGTGCGCTGACAAGGGCACGTCGAGGATGCTGCGAGGCTCTTGCAGTTGGGCCTTTCCGTCGCCCTCAGTGGAACCTGCGCGCTGGAAGGCGATTCCTCGTGATTGTTGGGATTAGGGCAGGTATATTCTGGATTGTTACGGCTGGATGATAGCAAAACATCATTGCAAGTAGACGGCTGGCTAAGGCCAACTGCCAATGTCCGTAGTCGGCCATGATCTGTGGAGTCTACTTGCAAGTATTGTAGTCATGTTTGCGGCCTCAACCCTGCTCTTTCTTTCTAAGCGCGAGCTGTTTGCAGGCATTTGCTTCTACGAAACTGCGGCACGTCAAAAGGGGCCCCTGGCATTTGATTGCAGCACTCTTTTCCTTTTGTTCGAGGTTGAGCTACCAGGTAGGTAGGGTACGGCATCCTGAAACAGCCTGGTCTAGGGATTCTAGGGTAGTCTTACATCGATTTCCGGTGCGTCAGCTAGCGGCTTCAGGTGCAGGGACTCCGAATAGACCGCCGACCTAAGCAGGCCCAGCCCTGGCTCGGTCAAGAGCCTAGTAGAAACTCGTGCCTGCCTTTGAAGTACAGCCTAGTCTAGTCTACAACGGTATTTCGTGTGAAGTGTAGAAAAGAGGAGCAGCGGCAATAGGCGTAGCTTGACGACTTGCTTTGCCACTGATCAGGTATGATCGAGGGTTCGACTTCTCGACCGGACGAAACCCCTACGCCACGCAGAGCACGCTGTGGTTCGCATCGAGCTGCATTGTTGGCGTGGTTGCCTTCTTTATGTACCCCCGGGAGTCTTCGCCGCAGATCGTCCTCGCGACACTCCAGCTCTTGTTCTTTCTGACTTCGGCCCTGAACCACGCGTATGAAACAGTGGCTCACGGCAGCTGGCGTTGGCAGAATGTGAATCGTCCCCTGCTGAGCGTGGCGATGGTCGCAGGTGCAGTTTCCCAGCAGGAAAGCAAGGCTTTGTTTTGGCTTCAGCCCCACATGTCCTTAGTCGCACGACCGCAGCCGCAGTGCTACAGCATGCCCAACGCCCACCTGCCCTGTCGAACATTCCCCACGGCCTCCTTTTCCCTTGCTGCCCGAAGCTACGTGTCGGTGCTCAAGCCCCCACGTCCCACCACCAGTACCGTGCCCGTACCACCGGCTTTGAGTCTGATTTGCAGAAGTAGATACGTGGGACAGCGCATAGAGTATGAGCCATATATGGACAGGCTCGCTTTCGTAGTGTATTGTGTCCAGGGCAAAACACCAATGAACAAGCTGGTGTAAGTTCAGGAATCGAGACCGCGCGTGGAGTAACTTGAGCCAGGTAAGCCCGAAGCAGTCAAGACAGTGAGTGCAGAATCCTTGTTATTCTTGAAACCCCCTTGCTGAGCCCTCAAAGCTCTATAGAGCCATGGAAGAATGACCTTGAACCCAAAACTCCAAAACCCAAACCTCGAGCCTCCCCTTTTTCCCTGGACCCCTTGGAGCCTCCCCCTTTCCCTAAACCCTAAGCCCCGAGGTTCCGATCCTCTTGGAGGCCTCGCAGTCGTGATAGCCGCTGACACCCGGACTGCTAGTAGTGCAAGCCAGCCATTTGCACACGTTTTATGACATGCCAATAACTATAAGCCCGGTATAAGATGGGTAGGATTCAAGTTTCTAGGATATCACATACCGGAGAAGCTCAAACCAGCTGACTAAAGTTTGAGGGTGAGGCGCCCAAATCCGAACCCTGCGGCCACTGCCTCTGAGTTCCGCTGTGCTGCTCTTCATTTCCCTGTACAGCAAAGGGGGCGAGGTGGTTTTGTGAGCTCTCTGCAGAGAGTGCAGGGTGGTAGAGTTGGAGCAAGCTTTGTAAAGCTCTGCGAGATCGGGACTGAGCCAGAATGCCCGCTCAAGCAGACAAGCATGCTTCAGTTATGAGCTCGGGGGTTTATGACCCCTGCAGTGTGTAATTCGAGATTCGTAGAGTTGCAACCGGTTCGACTCGAAGAAGCAACTGCGCTCGAAGTTCAAGTGTTGCTGGGGGGGATCGCAATCGTATTCCCGCAGGATTCAGACTACCCCGCTTTGGGCTGGCAAGGCCCGCTAGGTTTGGACCCTGTAATGAAGAACCCAGCATATGGAAATACCAACTGCACAGTAATGCTTCCTGAATGGCCATTGTACACATAACTACACTGTAACATACCCCAACACCTGCATCTAATCATCCATACTTAGTCATGTGGCTAAGCACCACAGTTGCATAAGAATCCTTATAGTTCATTCTTCTATAATCGTTAATGCCCCAACATGAATCAACCCGAACCCTTCTAACACCCCAAAAGCTCCATCTCAGATATCCGCTTAGATCCGGATTCCTAATACAATCAGTATGTATCTCTAATGTAGAACCGAAGCAAAGACACCTACCCTCAGTACTATTCCTGAGGGCAGTTCTCTTCAGATCTCATTGCCCTGCCCAGGTGAAGCCTCGTGCAAGAGGAGTGACGGCCTGTCCGCTGCGGAAGATTCGCAGTCCCGTTTTTTCAGGGCCCGAGAAAGTCGGAGCTGCCTGCGGTTGAGTGTTTGGGGTTTAGACTTCAGAGTCTAGCCCCGAACAAAGCCATCCAAAGCATAATGACGAAGAAGAGCCTAGCCCTTCTGGGGAGATTGCCTCATGTAAAAGCTTCTGTACAGATGCAAGTGCGGGTTTCTGCTGCTAGTTTTGCTGGTGCTCCTCACAGCAGGGAGCTGTGATATGCCTGTGGAAACCCCAGATCCTCTTAGCTTCCGGGATGGCCTGTAACTAAGGGGCTAATTCCTAATTATTAACTACTTGGTAGGTTTTGGTGCTATAGGTATTCCGTATTCCCTATCAAACCTGAACACCCAGCCCATCCCAGCCCCAGCACACCCATAGTCCCCAAAGCAGCACGGCGCGAGTCAGTGAAGGAGGAGGTGGGCATCGAATTCGGACTCCGAGATCCGCAAAGTAGTAGTCTTTAGTAGTAGTAGTAGTAGTAGAAGTAGTAGTAGTAGTAGTAGTAGCAGTAGTAGTCGTAGTAGTAGCAATAGTAGTAGTCCTAGTAGTAGTCGCAGTCGTCGTCGTAGTCGTCGTCGTAGTAGTAGTAGTAGTAGTAGTAGTAGTAGTAAAAGTAGTAGTAGCAGCAGCGGCAGCAGTTGATGTTATTGTTCTTGCTCTTGTTCTTGTGGCAGTGTGTGGTAGTGGTAGCGGTAGTCGTAGAAGTCGCAGTAGGAGCAGTAGCAGCAGCAGTAGCAGCAGACGTAACAGCGGAAACTGCACAAGCAGCAGTAGTACATAGTAGTAGCAGTACCAACAGAAATTGCAGAAGCATGTAATTCATATAATTTTCAGCATCCTAATTGTCGCCTTATAGTTACTACTCCCTAACCCTAAACCCTAGATGCTAAACCCTAAACCCTGAACCCTAAACCCTAAACCCTGAACCCTGAACCCTAAAGTCACCTCCCGGGGCCCCCACGGAGGCGAACCGCCGAGGCGTGCTGCAGAGGTCGCCACCTAGGGTGCATTTTTAGGGTTTAGGGTGTTTAGGGGTTCAGGGCTTAGGGTTTAGGGTTTAGGGGTTTAGGGATTTTAGGGATTTTAGGGGTTTAGGGTTATAGGGTTTAGCGGTTTAGTGGTTTAGGGTTAGGGGTTTTGGGGTTCAGGGTTCAGGGTTTAGGCTTGAGGGTTTCGGGTGCTTCATTAGACGGCTTTGAACCCAAAACCCTTCCTTTCTCGCCCCGAGCCGGCCTCCTGACTGAAGCCATCGCTTCGGCGCAAACCCCCTTTGCACAAAACCCTAAGAGCCCCAAACCCCGAAACCCCAAACCCAAAAGCCCAAACCCCAACCAGTCCTAAACCCAAAACCCTAAACCCAAAACCCAAAACCCAAGACCCAAAACCCAAAAGCCCAAAACCCAAAACCCAAAACCCTAAACCCAAACCTAAGCCTAAACCCCAAAACCCCCAATCCTAAAGCCTCAGCCCCTCTCGGCTGAGGCCGCAGCCCCACGCAGGCCCAAAGGCACAAGCCGGGCTCGGGCAGCGCGCACCAGCAGAGTCATGGCTCACCTGCAATCCGAGGCTCGAGCCTTTTGAATTGAGGGCTTTGGGGGTCTATAGAGTTTTTTTTTTGTTGAAGTGCAGCGGCTCTCTCATCGGCAGCCACAGCGGGTTTAGGGCTTAGAGGCTTGGTTTTTTGGTCTTTTTTTGCTTAGCTCCTTTTGGCCTCCCAGGGTTTTCGGAGTGTAGGAAACTGAGGGTGTGGAGTCGATAGGGTCCAGTAATCTGGAGGAGTCTGAAACTCGAGGGCCTAGGCGCTTGCCGTGGTGGAAAGGTTTAGGGTTTTTCGGGCTTTTCGGGTTTTTAGGGGTTTTAGGGTTTTTAGGGGTTTAGGGGCTTTGGGTTTAGGGCTTAGGGCTTGGGTTTACGACTTCGGGTTCCTGGCAAGCTTCGATGTCCATGACATGCCACGGATGCAGAGAAACTCCACATGGTCCATATGATGCACAACTATGCAAGGGCCTAAAGGAGAGACCCTTAAAGGGACCCTTGGGGTTATATAGGACATAAGGAGTACAGTATACAATGGTTATATAGGGTATTAGGATTAAGGGTCCCTTCTAGGGGTCCCTTCTGTCCCTTAAAACTATGCAAGGGCAAGGGCAATCGTCACGAAAGGAATCACACAAAGACACCAATAAAAGTATCAGGCAACGGGCATTCGCAAACACACCGTGCATGGGCAATGTGATGCGTGTTCCCCTTGTGAACAGACACAGACAGCATACATCACCTCTGAGATGTAAGATCAAAATATCTTTAATCGACAAGGCAAAGGGTATTCCAACACCATATCTACAACCTAATGTAGGGGCCTTAATAATTAGAATAGGGTTTGGGGGCATAGTATGCTATTATTATAATAAGGAACCCCCAAAACCCTATTCTAATTGTAGTAGCACTTATCAATGTGGTGCTACACAAAACTGTATAAGCGGGAGCCGTAAGTCACATCACCTCAGTGTGATGGCAGGACACATTCAACAGAACAAGCTCAGAAGCTAAGCACAGCAGCAGAAACTACTCACATTAGCAAAAGTGCTATGCTAGATGGTTTCCTTCAAGATACTTAGTCTTTCTCAAGTACTGGCCTTGTACGGTGGAGGATGCCGGGGACAAATTGAAACGAAGTGCTGCCCAAAACCGTCGCCCTAAACCCCCACACCTGAAGCCTCTGACCTGAAGATGTTTCGTGACTAGCTCATAACAGAATCACTGGAACAACAGCACCGACAAAAGCAAACACTACAGCGTTGCAATGATTATCGTCGCAGCTTTTGTGTTCACGCCAACCCGTGTGTGAAGTCTTGCAATTAAAACCCGACCAGTTGCCGGTGCTAGCATTTACCTGTTCATGTCGGGATCCTTATGGGCAGCTCTGTACCGGAAATGTGCCTGCTGTCGGCCAGACACACTAGGGAGGCAGCTTCGTACAGCTGAGCCAAAAGGGTCAGCTGCGTCTACATGGCATGGATCGAGTGAAGTCAGGACCTTTTGCCCAATACCCCTCTTACAACTTACAATGGAAGTCCTCACTCACGCAGTGAATTTCTTCATCAGGAGCCTAGATCAGATAGAACAGGGAGAAGCTTTGCAACTCAATCCCATGGTCAAAGGCGAAACTTTCAAGAACTGAGCTCTGGTCTCCTCCACTTTTCAGCGACTTCGAGTAGTAACAAAACCCTAACTAGGTTCCAAGTAGTTTAGGCTTCAGTTTCTAAGCTTCTGTGGCTGACGACTACGTGCTAAACGATGTAAGGTTCCGGTTTCGGACTACTGACTACTTCTGGCAGTGTAGCTGGAAAGAGCGATAATTCTACATCACGCCGACCTGCATTCCTACATCCTCAAAGACGTAACCCTGAACCCTATACCCTAA